AATGTTTTTTGAATTATATCACTATTAAAATAATGAATAAATAATTATGTTTCTTCAAAAAAGATATAATTGGTTTGCGAAATTTTATATACTAAATAATTTAGGAATCTATTTTTATCTACTATCAGTTTAAACTATCTAACTTGTTAATTCATTTTTAATGAGAAAGTTTTTGAAAGAACTTATATTAATATTTAGTAGATCATTTTTTATATCATATTTTTAGCTTATATACATAAATAACAATTATATATACTTCCTAATAAATACTCTGAAATTATAATCTTTAATTGATACAAGCCACTATAGTTTTAGTAGTTTTTTATTTTTATTTATTTTTATTTTTTATTTATATTTTTTTTAAATTTTTTTGAGTTAATAAATATAGTTATTATTTAACTATATTTAATATAGTCATTATTTAACTATATTTAATATAGCCATTACTTAACTATATTTAATATATTAATGTTTTTTTAAAATTAATTTTTAATATTATTTAAATATTTATTATATAGGCAAGTTAATATTTAACTTACTATTATTGCATATAAAAAATATTATTTCTTTTATAATATACTGTATATTTTGTTATATATAAATCAAATAAAGAAATAATGTTTATTTATAAAAAAATATATATATATATTTATTAAAAATATTTTTTATTAAATTATAATAAAAAAGTAAATAGTTATCAAAAAATTTTTAATAACTTTATTTTTAATATATTATTTTATGTTATTATTTTATTTATTATTTTTTCTATTAAATATTATTATTTTATTTAATTATACAGTAAATAAAAATAAAAATAAAAAATATACTTTTCAATTTTTTTAATATCTTAAAAATGTTTTATGTTAATACTATAATTTTACGTTACACTTGCAACTGATTTCATAAGAAATTTAAAAATATCACATTATATACAGTATACAGTATATCTTCATATAAAATCATTATAATGAACTAATAATAATATTAAGTTCGTTGTTATATCCAGTTTTTCAACTTAGTTAAATATTTTAACCTAAAAAATTAATTGCTATTCCTTATATTGATATACGGTAATATAATTTCATTCTCTTGAAATCATCCGTCATTTTTGCCAATTTAGGTAGCGTGTAATTTCTGGCAGTTTCTATTTCTTGATTTTTCGATCAAAACACCATAGTATTTTTGGGCATTTCTGGTTTCAATTCTTGCTTGACCATTATTGTGCATTCTACACTTTGTGTGACGTTACATGATCGCGATACGTTATTGTGACGGAACGTAGAAAAACGATCTTGACCAATTGTTATCCACCACATTAAAAAAAATTGTTTTTATTCCAACGACGATACTGATAGAGCAATGAAATTACGTTGCCTTGCTTTCGCGTTATTACCGCTCACTTTATCGATTACTTCGCTTGTCCTTTGTGAGAAAACGACGCAGCAACATTTCGAAGAGGGCGATGAACATTTTATGAAAGGAAATTACGATGAAGCCTTGAAAAGCTTCGATGCTGCGATTAGTAAGTATTTTTTTTTAAAAAAAAAACAGCAGCTCGAATTTGGTTTAATACTAAGCCTACTTTATTTTTAGGTCAAGACCCTACAAATTATCTGTACATTTTCAAACGCGCAGCGACATATATGCAGTTGAAGCAAAGTTCCGCTGCCGTCCAGGATTTTACGAAAATACTGAAGCTGAACCCAGACTTCGAGCCGGTACATTATACTCAGACTTAATTAGAGTTTATTAAAGTCTAAGTAGATTTTTACTAACCCATTTTTCATAACTTTTTATAGGCATTGTTACAACGCGCAAAATACTTCTTGAAGGAAGGTTCTCTGAATGAAGCCAAAGTAGATTTACAGAAGATATTAGATAAGAAGGAAAACGTTGAGGCTAGCAACTCGGTATAGTATGTTACATTAAACTAAATATTGCCAATTTCGTCATTATAACGCGTTTTTTTTTTTCCAATGAAGCTTAAATCGATTACCGTGGCGGAGAATTTGATAGAGGAAGCTGATGATGCTTTAAAGACAAATAATTATGAAGCTTGTATAGAAAAAATTTCTAAAGCAATAAAAATTTCATCAAAATCTCCGCGCTTAAGACTAACGAGGGCCCAGTGTCATTTAGAAAAGGGCGAGGTTGATGAAGCCGTACGAGATTTAACGTATGTAATTTGTTATCTTGTACGACTATTAATATTTTTGTAACTAATCGTGTTTTTTATTATCCTGTCAGCGCTGCTTCGCAGCTTAAACCTGATGATTCAAATCTATTGATCCGTCTTTGTCGTCTCAACTACTTTTCACTTTACAACATCGAACAAGCACGTAATAATATTAAGCAATGTTTGCGGTATGACCCAGAACTGAAATCGTGTAAAAGTCTTCATAGACTGATTAAAAAGTTTGAGAAAGAAGTTGAGACAGTTAGCAATGGCATAGAAGGAAAAAGATGGCAAGCATCAATCAACAAGTTAATGGGACTTGGTTCTAGTAAAGGACAAGGTCTCATAGCTGAAGTCGAAAATGAGTTCAAAAATACGAAAGAGGGACTTCAAAAAAAAGAATTAATAATAAAATTGTATAGTTGGACATGTAAAGCGTATCAAGAGGTATTTTTTAAATATTATTTAGTTATCTTTTTGGTGTAGTTTAAAACGGGTTCTCATAGCTTTTTTTCTCTTATTTCCTCTATAAAGTTGAAGAACAGCAAAAAAGCATTGGAGTGGTGTAGTAACACTTTGGAATTGGATGAAAATAATGTAGAAGCATTGATCAATCGAGCTGAAGCATACATAAGTACTGAAGATTACGAAGCGGCACTAAAAGATTATACCAAGGCTTTCGACTTAACGCAGGGTAATGATAATCGGGTAGTACAAGGTCGAAAGCATGCGGATAAATTATTGAGACAATCTAAGAAGAAAGACTACTATAAAATATTAGGTGTTCCCAGGACAGCTAATAAAAAGGAGATCAAACGAGCATACAGGAAATTGGCTCAGGAATGGCATCCAGATAAATATAAAGGCGATCTAACACCGGAACAAGTAGATTCAAAAATGAGCGCAATTAACGAAGCATATGAAGTGTTGAATGACGATGGCAAGTGTTAAATCTATTCATCGGCCTTAATTAGCTAGTGTTATCATATGTTTAATATTCATTTCATTTACAGAATTACGTGCAAGGTTTGATAATGGTGAGGATCCGAATGATCCTAATGGTGGAAGCCAACCATTCTTTTATTCTGACAATGCCTTCATGAGGTTTGCCAGTGGTGGTTTTCAATTTGGAGAAGGGTTTCCCTTTGGTGAAAGCAATGGTGAAGGACAATATCAATTCCGATTCAACTTCTAAAGAACATTATTGCATCTTATTCATTCAATTCTTAATATTTCACCTGAACAATTCATCCCTAATCTTCATTATATTGTCTCTTTTGATCTTGATTGGCTGCTTATTTCTGGATATTGCCGTTATATTCATATAGAACGCCAGTAAAAGTAGTTTAGTAGGTTAACTTTTTACATATAGCATTCAGCTCTTGATGTATGAACAATTGACACAATACAGTGCACAAATTTGTATACATATTTCATTATTCGGTAACTCAACTCGCTTAGCATCATAAACCTTTAAGCACGATTGTGTTGATTATTAATATGTGCATGCAACTGTTGGCTGCTGTCTGTCTAAAATGTTTTTATAATAATTTTATCAACCAATATATAAACTTTAGAATAAAAAAACAGATCATTAAAGTTTTTATTTCGGATTTTAATTTTAAAATTAATTAAAAAGAAATAATAAATATTTTCAAAAAACTTTAAATTAAACAATGAATTTAAATAGCAAAAAAATAATTTAATTAATATAAAATTTTTATTTACATCATTAATACATTAAATAAAGATGTTTTTCAAATTTTTTAAAAATTATATTGTAATTTATATGAAATTATTAAAGTTTACAAAAAATATAAATATTTAAACTAATCTTTAAGATTAATGATCTTTTTGTTTTTAAACATTATAACAATTTCAAAATTATAAAAAAACCAAAATATTTTTTATTGTATAAATATACATATATATATATTTTAAGGGCTAAGTTGCGATACACGCATGGATTTTATTGTTAATTGATTAAGACCACAACTATTTATACATGAACAGTCTATTAACTATTGCTAATATTAACTCCCGCTACTTACCCTTTTTACCAGAATACCAACTTATACCAAGTAGGTGGATCCATACCCTGGCTTTTATCACTATGTGATAGTTCTATAACTACCCAAATAAGTACTTATCACTTCATATCTCCACTGTGCACACCCGCATATGGTAACACTGTCCTTCAACGCAAGTATGCCCTTCCTAGTGAATGCTCTGGTTGACTATTGGTTGGTACTAACTACCAAATCTAGGGGTCATTTTTGGCCAAGTGGGAAAAATATATGTATATATTAAAATAGATTTAAAATAAAAAAATTTATTAATATTAGATTAATAATTAATTCTTTTTTTATTTAATTATTTTATTTAAATAAATTTATATAGTTAATTGTTTTTAATTTGATTATTTGCATTCTAGAATTATTGATTGAATTAAATATATAGGTTAAATTAATAATAAAAAAATTTAATATAATATAAAATTTTATTGATAAAGGAAAAAAAACTCTTTTCAACAAACATTAAAACTCTTAAAAAATATTAAAAGATATACAACTTTCAAAAGAGCCTGAAAATATCCAAAGGAACAATTAATCTATATTTTTTAATAATAGAACAAATAATTTTGCTTTGAAAAACTAATTACAATTATTTGTTTATTCAACTTTTTTAAAAAAAACAAACAAAAATTTATAAAAAAAAAGAAAAAAAACAAAGTGAACAATTTACAATAAGATCAGGAAAAAAAAATCAATATTAATTTTATAAAGTTATTAGCCAGTTATATATTAGGTTAGATATTTTTTTAAATACCAATAAAACTTTTTATTAGTCAATTTATATTTGATAAATCAAATAATCTTAAATATTAATACAAAGCCAAACCAATATTAAAGTTTTCTTTCCAAATCTTGATTAAAGAAGAAAAACAAAAGAAATAAATATCAATTATTTTTTCAGATATTATATATTGTAAACAAATTTTACTAATCTTAAAAAAAAATCAAAATAGTTTATTTCTTTTAAAGGATTAACTGTAATATAAACACAAACATATCTCAAAGCTAAACAACTCTAGCTTTAAAATAAGCAAACATATTTAAATTCAAAAGTTAAGCATATATCAAACAAATAGTTTTTTACAAAACAAATATATGAAAGATACAATATATATACTAAATACTTGTTTAAAAAAAATATTATCATATAACAAAAACCTTTAAATTAAGAAATAACAAATCAAAATAACAATAATTATCTCCTTATTAAACAAAACAGTTATCAAAAAAGAAAAATAAATATAGAAAGATACTAAACAGTTTTGATAATAAAGATATATTTTGTATAAATACAAATTAACAGATTAGAAAACATGTAATTACTTAATATAAGAAAGTACAATAACAGTTAAACAACAACTATACTGATAAAACAAATTATAAAGCATCTTCAAACATTAAATGATAATTATAGTAAAGGTGACAAATACTGACTATACATTAATAGAAGATGGAATAATTTTAAAGCTTTTAGAATTAAAAGTACTAATAAATATTATTATTATAGATACTGTTACTAAAATTTTGAAAATTTTATTAACTTTTGATAGATACTATTATATATTATCAATATTTATCAATATTTATTATTTTTAGCTATATTTTTTATATAATATTTTTTTTTTTTTTTAAGAATTCTCAAAATATCTATATAGTTTTGAATAGTACAGCAAATTCGGAGCCCTGTAGCTCAAAACCTAAGTTCTGAAACTTCTTTGAAGTTCTAAGCAACTATTTGCAAAAGACTAGAAAAACAACTTTTGTTAAGGCTTCAAAAGCGATTATCTTGATAATATTTTGAGTAATTTTACTTTTTCTCTTATAAATAAGAATTTTTTTTAATAATTATTCTAATAAATTCTTTTGTGTAAATAAATGAACCACACATAAATAATTAGATTAGAAGCAATCTACAATTGACCAAAACATTATAAAAGGCTATATTTTCCTCAGCTGTAAAAAAAAACAATTATCATAATTATAAAATTTTTAATTCTTGTATTTTTTTTAATTTTTTTTTAATAAAATTATATTTATTTCATATTCTTTTTTTACATTTTTCTATTGTTTTTTTTTTTTTTTTTTTTTTTAAATTGGCTTAGGGCATTAGATACGCGACATTTTTTTATCATTCTGTTTTTAGTCAGTACATCAAGTATTTTTACAAA